TGTGTGTGTGTGTGTGTGTGTGTGTGTGTGTGTGTGTGTGTGTGTCTCATTATGGCAGTGCCCAGGGGACATTTTTATAACCTTCAAAATCTGGACGGAAACCACAGCCCCTGAAGTCACTCAGAAGGCAGCTTCTAAAAATTATTGTTATTCAAAAATCCATTTACTTTACAATCTAGAAAGAAACTATGGCCCCTAGAGTAACTCAGAAGGAAGCTTTTTAAACTTATTATTATTCAAAAATCCATTTACCTTATTACTGTGTCTTCTTCAGGGAGTACCCCAGTCTCTGCAGTGTGTGTGGAGGCGGGTAAAAAAAACCAGAGGATGTGCAGGGTGTGCTAGCTCAGGAGTGAGGTACACATGGTACAGGAATACAGTAATATTTTTGTTAATTGAGATTTTGCCTAAATTTGTCTGGCTCCTTACAACTCTGTTCTAAACCACAGTTTCACCCATGCAAGCACCCATACCATCTTCTCCGGTATGGGCCCATCTTGGAGGAAGGTGGCAGAGAGGAGGCAGGTAACCTTCTCAAAAACAACACTGAGGCATGTGGAAACCTTGTTTTCCCTGTCTGCCACTTCCACATACACCCCTCACTTGTTCCCTAAATTCCTATTTCATGTTCAAAGCTAACACCATTATCATCAAGGCATACGAAAAAAAAAAAAAGGCATTCCTCCAAAAATCCCACACAGAAAATCATTTTTTACTATCATCAGAAAAATTACCACAAAACAAAATGTCTAAAAATCACTCATAAAAGTAAACCAAATGAGTTGGAAATCACACAGCTTTAAAAAAAAAAATACTGAACAAAAGATAATTTAAGCCTAGATTTCAGAAACAGGAGCCAGGCCATTTTAAAAGGATATAGAAAAAAATGCATGACTTAGACAGCAATTATCCATGTGTTTGTAAAAAGCCTCCACTCCATAGTAAGCAAAACATTGTCCCCCATTTCACTCACATGGGTTCAAGTTAGGAAAGGGTCACTTGGACATAACAGTGCTTGGGGGACTTACGTAAAGTGGGACTTCACTGCAGCTTAACTCCATGGCTCCCGCATCTGCAATGGAAACAAGAGGAAGGTTACAGTGGGAAGCCTGTCACCAGCTCTCAGAGCCCTCCGCGGCCCATACTTCGGCATCAGCATTAGTAGGGAAGGAATACAGTAACTAAGAAAGCTACAGAGATATAAGAGGAACAAAGGACCGAGGCCTGAGTCCATGCCTAATGCCCCCTTTAAAAAGGAATACAGAAAAGAGACGCTATCTTATATAAGATCATTCTCCCCAAGAAAACAGGATGTCAGCCCTCCAAAAACCTAAACACGATTCAGTGATTTGATCTCTGTGTATGTACCAGAAGAATTGGAAATGGCCTCAGATGGACATAGCCGTACATATCCTACACACAGCAGCCAAAGCAGGGAAGCAACTGTAATACCCACTGGCCTGTCCATGACAACCAAAATTCAGCAGGCATGCGCAATGGACTAGTCAGTGATAATAGTCTTCCACGTGCTACAACACGAAAGACATTGAGCTAAGAGAACAATAAGCCAATCACAAAAGAAAGACATACTGCTGTCATTTCACTTCCATGAGGTAACTAGATAGTTAAAGTCATAGAGACAGGAAGCAGAATACAGGTCACCAAGACCTGGAGTTGCTGCTCAGGAGATGCATAACTTGTTTTTTAATTTGGGAAGATAAAAGCACGCTCCTGACGATGGATATGGTGAGACCGTGCAGTGTGAATGTGCTTAATGCAGCTGAATCCCGTACTCAAAATGGTCCACATGACAGATCTCATACGTATTTTACCACAACAGAAAGACAGGGTAAGTTACCCACGGCCTGTACCTGAGGCAAAAGAAAGAGCACCTGAAATGAATATTCACATTATGTAGGCGTGATGACATATATGACTTATATATATATACATGCCTGCATACATGTACATTCTCACCTTCATTCTTTCACACTAGTTCCCAGACGTAAAGACATCCCAACCCTTCAGACACTCCACTCACTGACCCAGAATTCGGAGGGTTTCCAAAAGCCGCGGAGAGGCAGTGCAGGCATCAGGAGAGGCTGGGTGTAACTCAGCACAGCCTCACAGGCTGCTTCAAGCTCTGCCCGGACGGCACAGAGGCCAGAGGTTCCGGCCAGACGCTCACCGCGGGCACGCCGCCCACCAGCGAGCTACCCAGCTTCTCCATCAGCTGCACAAGCCTCGTCTGCCCAGCGTATCTCTCTCCAAACAGAGCACAGGGGTGTCTATGAGCAGGCGTGTGGACAAACAAAATGCGGCACGCACATGCAATGGAATGTCCTTCCACCTGAGAAAGGAAGGAACACATGCCGCAGCCTGGATGAATCTCGGCAGCACATCCTCAGTGAAACGGGCCAGACAGAAAGAGCAGTGCCCTGAGTTCCAGTAATACGGGATAGCGAGAGTCAAAGGTGGTTTCCGAGAGCAGCGAGGAGAGACTGTTTTTGTTTAATGGACTTTAATAGATGCCAAGTTTCAGGTTTTGCACAATGAAAACTGTCCATTGATAATGGTAAAATGGTAATGAAGAGTAACAATGTGTTTAAAACTTCCAAGCAGTGTGCATGCACACACAGACACACACAGACAGACAGACAGACACACACACACACACACACACACACACACACACACACACAGGAGAATCTATGTTTGACAGTCATAATTGACAATCTCAAAATAGCACCTAGAAGCTGGCTTTCTGATTAAAAAATCAAAAACCCACCATCATTATTGTTCACTGACCATTCACTGTGGGTCACAGTACCACCAAAGGGGAGGAAAGTGGCCCAGCCCCCCTCCATAGCTGACCAAAGACAGCTAAAAGTTGGACAAAGTCCAGAGTGGGTCACGTGGGAATTCTGAATGGGACAGCGAGGGACCTCATCACTGTCTTCTACGTTCTGCTCACCTGGCTCAGGGCTCTGGACTACAGCCCCACCGTACAGCACCTGGGGTGCTCTGGGATCTGATTGGTGACATTCAGTGTGCCGATTCTCAGAGGATGCACTTGGCAAGGAAGAGTAATGACAGACAGCCACTGGTGGGCCAAGCCAAGGCCATGACACAGGATGCTTCCCAGCCCTGTTCTCCACACAGCACTCCCTGAGAGTGCAAGCTCACGGGCACCTACGGGAGTTGGCTCCTGGATGATGATCGTTTTCTAGCAAGACTAACTTCACACAAGACCAGTGGGAAAGAGACTCCCCATGAAAGATAATACCAAAAAATATATAACAGAATAGTCCTAGTACAGATTCCTAATAGAAGCTGTTTGTCAGTTCAACCTCCAAACTCCAAATTATCTTTTTCTTTTTCTGTTTTTGGTTTTTTGAGTCAGGGTTTCTCTGTGTAGCCTGCCTGCCTCTGCCTCCCAAGTGCTGGGATTAAAGGTGTGCTCCACCACCTCCACCTGGCCAAACTCCGAACTATCAGGAATTGAACTTGGAAAGCTGAATTCATGCAGCAGCATTGACCCTATTGTCCTGTCTTCTGTACACCAGGAGAGCAGCAGCTCTTCATCTTGCACTCAGGCCATATGCAATCCCACACCAAAGGTGAAGGAAAAACTAGATTTCTACTTAACATGAAAAAAAATTCATTATCATAGCGATGTAATGATTTAAATAGCAGAAATAATAAAGAAAACAAACATATTTAGAGTGTAGTTAGGAATTTTGCTGGTTTAGTAAAGTGGTGATTGTAGGTTCTCCTCCAAGACTAATGACTTCACAATAACACGTAGGGATATTGTGTCATGCTAGCTGTTATGACAGGTTATAGGTGTCATTGCTAGGTAGAAGAGTTGTGGTTGCTTCCTGCCTTTGGAGCATTCCTGGTGAAAGTTATTCCAAAGTGGGGAGGATTTGGGTCAATTCCTGTTCAAGGATCTCTGAGTCCTGTGTCTGACGTGCATGACATCTTCAGCAATTGGGACTTGGCTTCCAGCTCTCGGGATTAACCAAGGGCAGCAGCAATAGGCTGTATGTTTGTTTTGTTTTTGTTTTTGTTTTTTGAGAGAGGGTTTCTCTATATATCCTCAGCTGTCCTGGAACTTATTTGTAGATCAGACTAGCCTCCCAGAGAGCCACCAGCATCTACCTGCCTGAGTGCTGGAGATGGGCGTGTGCCACTGTGCTCGGCTGACTGTATGTTTTGGGAGTCTCTTAGACATCCCTGGCCAACGACTCAAAAGAGAGCTTTTCATGTGAGCTGTGTGCTGTGTGCCGTGGGTGCTCCCACTCCATAGAGAGGAAGGAGACAAAGGTTTCATTTAGGAAATGTATAATTAATGAAAGAAGACACCATGAATTTGAAAGAGAGAAAAGTGTATATGGGAGGGTTTAGAGGGAGAAAAAGAAGGGGAGAGATCATGTAATTATATTATAATCTCATAACCTAGAAAAACAGGAGTGCTTGTACATGTGTGGACAGCTTGGAAATTCTGTGTTGAAGTTTGAATTTGTGGCAGCTCGCACGTCTGTACTGTGTAAATTTGGGGGGAGAGATAGATTTTAATCTATTTTTTAAAAATCTTCCAAGAGGAGCATTTCCTAGCTTCTGTATTCAGTTTGTTTGATTTGTACATTGTCTCCTGATTAGTCTGCAGAAGGACAGACAGCTCTCAGGGATGGTAAGCATTTCTTTACCAACCCTCACAGAACTGATGGCCGGGACTGGAAGCTAAGTCTCAGTCTCACAGGCAGCTAGCATAGAAAGTCTTTCCAAACTCTGCATCCCAGAGAAGTATCTTTGATCATCAAACACTTTAAACCTATTTCAAGTAGACAGTGATGAGAAGCAAAGGACTCGGCTGATTTTAGGGAATAAACGAGATTAATACAGTGTTAATACAGTCACTACCATGTTTGATCCTTAGAACTTCTTCCATTTTTGCGCAGGCCATAGACTATGCACTGCTGTGTTAGTGTGGTGTGTAAGTACACACACGTACATCAAGTAAGATACATGCTAACGTTTTTCTTCTTAATAGAGTACATATTAGCGTTTTGAAAATCTGCTTCAAGGGGGCAAGATGGTGGCGCCGGGAGGACTCTCATTCTGAGCAGCAGCAGCAGGATTGTCACAGTGACCAGCAATCAGAACTCGCGGCCATAAAACACAGTCATTGTGTTTCCCAGGTGAGAGGATACCCAACGGTGGGGGATTCAATCAGCTTTAACTCACCCGGCTAAACCGCCTAAACCGTGGAAGAGATCCCGGTTCTGCCAGGTGCTTGGCTGCCGGCCGCCAGCCCCAGCCCCAGCCCAGAGCCACAAGCCAGTGTCTCTGGTCACAGTCCCAGACTGAACCGTGTGCACCACACTATCAGAGACTGGAACTTTCAGTCGAGAGATAACCCCACGGTACAGGAAATGATTGGGACCGACCTTAGGTCACCCAGACATCCCCTGGAAAAGACTCGGGTTCCACGGGCGCCCCAGGAGCCAGTCCGGAGCGAGAGCCGGGGACCCAGACTCCAGCACAGAGCCCTGCCTGCCTGCGCGCCTGATTCGCCGCCTGAGATAGAACTGTGGGCACCAGGGCACCAGCGAATGAGTTTCACTGTCCAGTGCAAACACACAGGGAGGGAAACGGTTGGTCTGATCTCAGAGCACTCCGACACCCCGACCCCAAAAAGGTCTTGGGAAAATTAGCCAGTTTAGGCAAACACCCAGGCTCCCAAAGGCCGGAAAGGCAGAGACTGAGCCGCCATCACTCAGCTGTGCTCCAGATGCAGGCAGTTTCTGCAGCCACCAGCTGGCAGAGACTGAGCAGTGCGCACCAGGGCAAAAAAAAAAAAAAAAAAAAAAAAAAAAAGAGAGAGACTGTGTGTCCCTGTCTCCAGAGAATACACAGGGAAGGAAGGAAACTCGACTGATTTAAATCACCCAATCCTTCCCTAGAAAAAGTCTAGCAAAGACCGGCAGGGCTGAGCCGCCATCACTCAGCTGTGCTCCAGACACAGGCACAAACAGTTGCTGCGTGCCAGATGTCCAACTGGGTCAC